TAAGCCTTAATGTAAAAACCATCCATTGTTATTCTTGTTCTTTGAGGACTTAGGACTGCTTCATTGCAAGAAATGGAAATTGATAGTTACAACATCTGTAATATTTGCTCCTAGATAGAGAATAAAAGGAGAACATAATACAGGGAGGGCTTGATAGATGTGTCCTACTGCTAATGAGGATTTCAATCATATAGCCTGTATGTACTCTGTAGTTTTCAGAATTAGGGCTCATCATCAGTGGAGAGGCTAACCAAGGAAGAGCTGAGACCCTGAGGCCAGGCAACCACTTAGGGAAGGTCAGATGGGCCAGGAAGAACCCGCTTGTAGACATCTCACAGAGGGAGGTTAGCTTCAAGTAAGTCCTGCTGGTGGGATCCTAGGATAGGCAAGTATGTCTACAACCGGCAATTGGTAAGACTGAAGAAGCCAGAAGGTGAGACTCAAGGATACCCAGCAGGAACCCAGTAGGTGAACCATAGTATAGTATCAAGGTAGTAAATGAATAAATGAAAGAATGACATAAAAGGTGGGAAACCAGTCAAGGTGGTTGTTGACTTCAGAGGTTCTGACAATATATAACAGACAGCTAAACCCAGAGATTGGAGTTCCAAGAAGGAACTTCCGTTCTAGGCTCAGAGAACAGAGATAGAACCTCAGTTCTAAAATCCAAAGATAGAGAGGGATACTGGGTCATAAGGTGAGGATTTGGTCAGGAGGAAGAAGGCAAACTACTAGAATGGGGACAACTGAGCAGGATGAATCATTAACACCAACTTCCCACCAAACTTCTGAGCTACTGGCCTGGAATCTTAACAAATCCCCTGCTACTGGAATTAAGATTGTTGGCTGGGCCTGGGACTGGGCTGTTTCTTCAAATTGAAGTTGCGTGGCTCAGCTATGGGGGACGAAGGAGGCTGGAGTACAGCACCCAGCTAAAGCTTTCTAATGCTCATCTGTGAGTGATTTGCATAGTAAACTAAAAATAGAGTAAATCATTTACATCAGGAATAAATGTACTTGGAACAGTGTTTAAAATCCTTTGTTTCCAGCGCTACCCATAAGAATCAAACATTTTACAAAGAAAACTTAAGTACAGCTTGAAGCTTTAGAGAATCTAAATCTATTATATCAAGATGATCCATATTTTGGAAAATGTTTATTAAGGCATTTCTATAGGATATCTGCAGAACCACTACAGAATAATTCCATAATTACCTAGCACAAAGAGTGAACTCTCCCAACTCAGGCCAGATTTGTAAGGTTTGAGGCAGGTTAGACTCAGGTTAAAGGGCCATAATATAGATCAGGATCTGTGAGTAAGCAAGCATGGCAAATAGGAATCAATACACAAGGAAAGTCAAGAAATCCATGGCCAGGGTAGGGAGTAATGGAGGAAGAGCTGTTTCAAGCCATTTCGAGATTATAGGTTATAACACAAGATCCAGAAAGAGACGGATCAGCAGAGAGAACATATACTTAGGTGTGTGTCTACCTGTGGAATGGAGACAAGAAGGGAAAGACAGGGAAGTAGAAAGGAAACTGAAAGGAGAAGGCTTTCTAAGTATTAGAAAGATTCTTAAAGACATAAATTCCACGCCAAACTCTATGCCCTGCTTGCTGAGTAACCTCAGGCAGTTTACCCATATTTTTGGGCCTCAGCTTCCCAGTCTATTCAAGGGGGCAACTGAGTCATTTAGGATCTCTTTATCTTCAGCATTCTGTGACTCTAAGATTATGGATGTTGCAATATGCCAGCCAACAAAAACAAGCAGGGCTCCAAAGAGCTAATGACACCTGCCTTCTTTCTTCCCTCCCTCCCTCCTTTTTAGCTTCTCATCTGCAAATACTTATTATGAACCTACTGTGTTTCTGAGCCTGAGGATGTGTATGGATAAACCAAGTCACACATATGCCCAGCTCTATTGCCATGGCCATCACCTGGATGCGAAAGCTGTCAATCCATAGACTGTCCGTGACGTCAGCGGTGACAGCTGAACCGATTAGAGTCTTGTTTGGAGACAAGTATAACATAGAGAGCAGGGACATGGACACAGGGGCCAGACTGCCTAAGCCCAACACCTGGTTCCACTAGTTACTGGGTTTGTAAAACCTGAGCAAGTTACTTAAGCTCATAAAGCCTTGGTTTCCTCAGCTGTAAAATGGAGACAATAATACAACTTGTCAATTAGAGTTGTTGTGAGTTTTAGATTGCCTGCTCATGTAAAGTACTTACAGCAGTGCACAAATATAATAAACATTCAAAAATCTTAGCTTTTCATTTTCAATACATTATTATTATTATTCATTTTTATTATTACTAATAATTAATACTTATTAATCTTGTGCATTCAAACTGGGAAATGCAGAGAGACAAAAATTGGTTATCGGTAGGGGCAGAAAATGAAGGGTATCATGAAGGAGCCATGGGTCATGGCAAACCAATGTTGCATGCATGCCGAGGTTACGATAGGACAGAAACTGCAAGTAAGTGGAGCAGTCTGTGTGAGGAGAAACAGAGAAGACCCACAAAGAGACATAGAGGGCATGAGAGTGATCCTGTGGTCAATGGGAGAAATGGGAGTGGCCCATTATAAGAGGTGCCTTGGTTGCTAATGTACGCCAGATCCAGGCATTGTCTCAGTATAACAAACCCCATTTTCTTTTGGGCCTCCGTGCAACCCAAGAGCATAACTAAAAGAGATCCCATAGACCGAATGAGAGATGATGCTTGGGCTCAAAGAGTTCTCAGTTAGTGTTTGTAAACTGATAATTCCAAAGCAGAAGTGTATGTTCAGTGATAAAGAGTTTCAAAGTAACTAGTGGAACCCAGTAACTAGTGGAACCAGGTGTTGGGCTTAGGCAGTCTGGCCCCTGTGTCCATGTCCCTGCTCTCTATGTTATACTTTGTGGTATATATTGTGGTAATGAACTGAGCAGTCCTTTATTTGGAGAGGTGAAAGGACAGTTAAAGATAGTCTAGGAGGGCTTCCTGGAGGAGATTATGCCAGGGTTGCATCATAAATTATTGGTAGTGAAGGGTTCAGAAGAATTTAAACAGCAAAAGGGCAGCAAAAGAAGAAGCCCTGAGGCCAGAAACAGCCTGGTGTATACACTGAAGTGCAAGCTAACCTGCTGGGCTGCTAAAGGTTAGGAGGGCAGCACATGGCCAGAATGGGTTTGCAGAGTAGGGCAGAATTTCGCTCAACAAATATTTACTGAGCATCTACCATGAGTCAGGCACCAATGGGGAAGCAGGCACCAAGCTTGAGCAAGAGCAGCAAGGTTCCTACCCTCTTGAAGCTTGCATTTCAGTGGGGAAGGCAAACAACATCAAATAAACAGAAAAAGATTGAATTTTAAATAGAAATAAAAACTATGAAGCAAAAAGAAAGCAGCATAGAGTGATGTGGTAAGGTGGGGGGGGGAAGCTATTTTAGTTAGCTAGAAAAGGAGATGACATTTCGGCAAAGATGGGGAGGCTGCTGGAGTTTCTCAGAGTTCATTTAGGCAAGAGATTATCTCGACATGAAAACGGTGGAGCTGGTTGTGATGGTGGCAAGAAACCAGAGTTCTTAAACATTTACAAAATAAACTTGTCAATGCTTAGCGATTGTGTACAAGTAGGGCATGAGAAAAAGGGAGGTATGAAGAGCAACTCCCATATTTCTAGTTTAGGTAGCAAGGAAGATAGTGGTGCCACAAACAGAGTCACAGAATGCAGGGGAAAAGGAGGTTGGGGATGAAAGCTGACAAACCTCCTTTTCAAAAAATGGGTCATAATGCAATTCCTCAGATGGCAATGTCCCCAGCAAAGCGACTGTGCTGGTGGAGCAGAGGCCTGGGCTAAAGATTTGAACTTGAGAGTGAGTGGCACATGGATAATGAAGCCATAACGTCACTGAGATTGTTTGTTGGTCAGCCAACAAGGATTTAATGAGCACTTACCAAGTGTCAGGCTGTGTGGCAAGTCCTGAAAGAGCTTTCTTTTTAGTGTGGGCATGACAAAAAAAATCTCCAAACAAGGAAAACAAATTCAAGTACTGATTATAGGGATTTTGAATAAGCTAAAAGAATGTCATGGGATAAAGAATACTGAGAGGGGAGGAGGTAGTGGAGGCAGAGGTCGCTTTAGCTGTGGTGGCCAAGAGGGTCTGCTGTGGAGACATGACACTTGAACTGAAAGCTGATTACAAAGGACACTGTTCTGTAAAATTCTGGATGAAGACCCTTTGTAACAAAGCAAATTGCAAGTCTTTTGGTTCTGAGATGGGAATGGACTTGCGTATCGGAAGGACAGATGAAAGGTCAGAGTGGCTGGAACAGAATGAGCGAGGCCATCTAGGAGTAGCTGAGAGAGGTCAGGAAGGGCCAGATAGAGGGGAGATCGGGTTTTATCCCAAGGGAATGTGGAGCATGTAAAGAGCAGAAGGCTAAGGAAAGATTCCTGGAAAACACCAACCTGAAGGACAAAGGGAATGTGTCATCACAGAAACCAGGAGAGGGTAGACTTGTGAGGAACAAGTGATAAATTCTACAGCAACAACAAACATTAATTTTGTGTTCATAACATAGAATGGCTCCTATTTTGTGAAGGAGAGACGAAGGATCACTTGACTCTGCCCATAGCTTGCCCCTCAGCTGAAGGCCCAACGGCCCATCTGTCCTTTGGTTTCCTCTCCCAACATCACGGCTTTAGTTTACATAGGGATGTATCTGTTAGCAGGGAATCAAGGTCCAGGACTGTTCTAAGATAGCTGCAAAAAATATTTCAGCATTATATACAGTCACTGTGTAGATGCAAAAATGGAAATGCACAGAAGTTAAATGGCTTTTCTAAATCAGTACAAGCCCAAGCTAAAAATACCATCCCTGTCTACTTCTTCCAAGGTTACCTTTTGTTTGGCATCCAGCTCATGCCTGTTTGGGGAAAGCTGTCATTATATGGACTGCCAAACCACAGTGATGGACTGAACCCATCAATTGCCTCTCCTGATCCACAGGCACAACACTGCGCTTGGACGTCTGGGATGGATGGAAGGAATTCCTGAAAGGCTGTCTCCTCGGACAAAAACTTAAAGCCCAGCGCTATTTATCAAATGAAGGACCAGTACTCAAGTATGGAGATAAAGCAAATGCTAAGTTAATTTAAGTAATTTTCACTTAACTTCCAAAGGACCTTGAATCTGCAATTCATCTACAGCTGGAGTGCTGCTCCATGCCAGTGCCACTTAGCACGTCTCCACCAGACATTATTATTGAGATATTTGCTGAAATAAGACAGCAAGGATGCCACCAGGGCTGACAGCCTTTGGTGATGGGTGGCAATTCAGGCTGATTTTCCTTAATGGGTGCTTTCAGTTTGGTTTGGATATCAGGCTTTTAACAGCACTTATCAAAGCTGTCAGAATAAGTACCTTACCACACTCACATTCAGTTATTCTCAAAAGTACTAGTTGTTACTTGATTGGCTGAAAACATTGGCTTCTCTTCCTAAGGTCCCATGTAATTTTTCAAACTACATTTAATACAAGCATTCGTACTTTTGCCAACATGAAGGGTAACGTGTGGCTGGGACAGGATGGTCTTTTAGAAAAGCAGGTGGACATTCTAATATATCTCTGAAGTCAGCAGCTTCCCAAATACCTGAGTTGCATTGCCCTTTAGGGTTAAATTCAGCGGTATTTTAGGACAGTGCCCCCTGGTGGATGACTTAATTGTGCTTCACAGAAGCAACATACACCCAAGGAACTCTATAAAGAGCTCTGTGAAGGGACAGATTAGAAAACCAGCTTTAGCAATATAAAATATTCAAAAAATATTTAATGAATTTCTATTTGGAGATAGTGATAATTCTCTTTTTTCGTGCTCTGAATCCAAATAGCTGTGTTGTACTGTTACTTTTAATAGTGCATATTTATTGAGTACCAAGACACTGTCGTATTTATTACCTACTTTTATACTTATAACAGCTTTATGAGGTAGATACTATTTTATCTTATTTTACAGACAAGGAAACTGATATTAGGAAATCTGACCAATGTCACACAGTTTGCAAGGGCACAGCTGGGTGCTGGATTCCCAACAATCTAACTCTAGTGTTCATAGGCTTAACCATTTCCTTTTGGCTGAATCTTTAAATAAAATCTAAGAGCCCAGAGAATGTCAATCAATGACCAGACTGAAAAGCTCCTTTCATCCCTCCACCCAATCAATAGATATCTATTGAGCATTTACTATGTACTATGCAAGATCCCAGGAATATAGCAATAAACAAGATATGGTCCCCACCTTAAGCAAGCTTACGGTCCAGTAGGGGAAACAGAAACAAGTGACCAATTCCTGGAAAAGCAGAACTATAAAATGTTTGGGAATATAAACTCCAGGGACGATCTGCTTAGGTTCAAAGCCCTACTCCCTCGGTGTTTAGTTCTATGAACTTGGGCAAGTTATATAGTCATCCTGTACTTCAGTTTTCTCTTCTATAAAATGGGAATAATAGTAGTATCTATCTCGTAGAACTATTTTAAAAGATTGAATGACCAGTAGTCATAAGAAATGTAAAGGGCTGCCTGGCACAAGGTAAACAGGATATAGATAATAGTTGTCGTCATCATTACCATTCAGTATGAAAAGTAATATGACAATGCTCATTTGGGGGTGTATAATATAGACAACTAACTAGACTTAGGGACTCAGGTAAAGCATCCAGAGAAAAGGAATTGATGTGGAGACCCCAAGGGCTGGTACTCAGGTAAACAGTAGGGAGAAGAAAAAGATGTTTCAAAACAGATGGAACCACCAAGTACAAAGACCCCAGGGGCAAGAGAATAGATACAAGGAACTGAAAGAAGATCCACGTGGCTGATCACAGAGTGAGAGGGAGCTAGTGGCCAGAGGCTACAAAGATAAGAAGAGGCCAGCTCATGTAGACCCCTGGAGGAATGTAAGGAAATTTGGGCTTTATCTTTTAGGTGTTGGGAAGACATGGAAGGTAGAGACAGCCCCTGATGAGATCTCCCTTTTAGAATGTTGGCTCTGGCTGCAGGCAGAGGAGGCACGCAGGGATACAGGGACAGTCAGGAGATGGTGGTGGTCTGAAACAGGCTCACGACAGCAAGAGGTGGGGCTAAGCGGACAGACCGTGAAAAGTTACATTTGGAGGCAAAATGAACTAGTCTCCATAACAGGAGTGCCTTTAGCTCCCATATGGGTGCTGAGGATGAAAGCAGAGACCAGTTAGTCCATCCAGAAAGAGCTCTTCTCCACAAATTGAAAAAACCTGATCAAATTCAGAGATGTTGATTTGCACTAACAAACTTCAAAAGAAATTGATATGTGAACCAAAATACCAGTATATTAACATATAACTCTAGTTAGCTATAATAATCTAACTGCCAGAGGGTCCTAGAGACACATGTTCTGAGCAGACCAGTTTCCTCATACAGGAAAGTTACATGGGAAGCTGCACGCACACCAGAAGATGGTGTGGTGAGCATGCAGTCAGACACCAGAGAATTAGTTACGCACAGCAGATTTTGGGTGATGCCAGGTCAGCGGTTGTCTCTGTCTCTACCGTGGGGTCAGATAGCCCTGCCCAAGTATATCCTGAACAATACCTGGTGGGACCCTGTCTAGATTTGCTCCCCTAATTCTTATTTCTCTGAGCAGCCTTCACTAATCATTCAACTAATACCTTGTGGGGTCCTGGAGGGACAGTAGGAAGGCCAGTGTGGCTCCAGTGCAGTGTAAGAGAAGAGAAGTTGTGGGAAATGGGGTGGGAGAGGGGACAGAGGCCAAATGACCAGGGGCCTTGTAGACCAAGGTGAGGAGTTAGAATTTCAATTGCAGTGGGAGGCTGATGGAAGGTTTGGGGCAGAGGATAGGTAACCTCCAATTTAGGGAATAAAAGGGTCACTGAGCACTGTGTGAGGAAAAGCCTGTAGGGGGATAAGAGGCAGTGGGAGGCTGGTTAGGAGACAAGGGCGTTGGCGGTGGTGCTCGTGGGCGCGACCTAGTGGTGTCCATCAGAGTAGCGGTAAATGTTTTGAGAAGCCAGAAAATAAGGACTGTTAGAAAAGAAAAACAAACACACAAGACTTTCAAATTTCTAAAGTATGCTGCATTTCTTGAAATACTTTCCCAATTAATATAAACCTTGATATTTTTCCGGAGCATTTGATTTTCTTAAGAAAGAAAACTACTCCAAGGAAATGAGTTTATTTACATGCACATAGTAGAATAACATGTATAAACAGGATCTGTGCCATTTAACCTGTATATTACTACCTGCCTTTCCTGAAGATATTTTAGGTTAAAAATTAGGAAGAAATAAACATTTTAACTAGAATGTTTCATAGGTATTTAGTGTAACTACCATTGTCTATTTGCTGACTTACTAAACAGCCCTACCCCTACTTCTTTCTTTTGTTCAGGTATCAGAAAAGGGTAGCCCTGTACATTGCTGCCTTTTACGGGTACGTCGAGCTCACAGAATGGGCCCTGAAGCAGGGCGCAAGGCCCTATGAAGCAGTCGGTGTTCACCCCTGTCGAGTATGGTGCCACGAAGCCCTTCATGCAGATGTCTCTAAATGCCCCATTCATGCAGCAGCAGAAGCCGGCCAACTGTTGATTCTGAAGGCCTTTGTCAACTGCAGCGTGCTGTGCCTGGAATGCAAAAATTTATCAGGCCAAATTCCCCTGACCATTGCATTCAAACACCAGCATAAAGACTGTGTATTATATTTATTGAGTAAAATGTGGTCCACGGTTTCTTTTCCAAAAATTTCAGTCCCCATGAGGATTTATGTTAGAATAAAACAATGGGTCCTCAGAGCTCAGAGTCACAACTTTAATAAAAGTCAGCTTTGCAGAGCAAGGGTCTTTGGGGAGAAAGTTGGAGACACTGTGGTGGTGGATGGTTTCACCAAACCGAAAATGACCTCCAAGAGCTGGCATAAGGCTGGAAACAAGAACTCACAAAGCCCTGTGGGCAAGCTACCAACTCTGGGCAACCAAACTGCAAGCAGGAAACCTGTCGATCCTTCAGCAATTTCTCAGCAGAACACAAGACAAGAAGCCCTCAAATTTCCTCCTCTGGTAGATGCAAATACATTCTCTGAATTACAGAGACATCAACAGCAAAGTCAGGAAAATATTACTATCATAGCAAGGAAAAAAGAAAAGCTTTTAAAAAATACGTATCTCCCCCAGCTCCCGCTCCCTCCAGTTTCAAGAGTGGCCTATTCACACCCATCATTTTACTATGCAACACCCAGTGCTGACTGGGTATTCAAATCCTCCTTCGCCTCTTTCTCAGAGCACAGTGGGAAGACACCAAGGGAGAACGCCATCTACTGCTTAGCTGTGGCCAGGTAACATTTTTTCTTGAAACTTACAAAGGCAAATCTTTAATAGGGCAGATCTGGGGCAGGGAAAGGTCCATGAATCCCTACCATTCCATAGAGTTTAGAACAGGTTGTTCTAATGCATCAGTACCCACCTTCAAGGACTTCATCTTAGCCTTGTGTCTAGGACAAAATGAACTGATTTGTTGGCCAATCCAATCTGTGTAGTACTTTACTCCTCCAGCTTTCAGGAAGAAAAGAGATGTAGTGAAGAGTGGTATCAATTAACAAGGTCCCTTGACAGGTTGGACAAGGTTTGTCCCTTGGACAGATTGACAAGTTTCTTTTTTTTCCTTTCTTTCTTTCTTTTTTTTTTTTTTAATTTCTGTTC